CGGAAAAGGACCTGGGGGTGTTGGTTGACAGCCGGCTGAACATGAGCCGGTTGGACTCGATGATCTTAGAGGTCTTTTCCAACCTTAATGATTCTATGATTCTAAAGTACTCTGGAAATAAATATGCAGACTATTCACTTTTTACATTTTGTAATGAAGTTTCTGTTAGAAAATAAATGGTGTTTTGTTCCTCCAGGAAGAGTTTGGCTCAAAGCAGCCACATGTGCTTCTAGGCCCCACATCAGCCCCGTATGATGTAGATTCAGAAGTGCCACATTCCCCGGACACACGCTAAAGGCCCTGTGGAAAGGACCAAGAACAGTGAGCAGGCAGTAGACCTTCACCCCAGGAACGGGTAAGTTATGTACAGTTCTATAGTCTAGCTACACTCCTAGCAGCTGCTTACATTGCTTGCGAAACTGTCACAAAGGATTAGAGCTCACCCTTGCATCTCTGAGCATGAAGAGTCACAGCCATCAACAGCAGTCCTCTGAACACGTACTTGATGTCCTAACTTAAACCAGCTACTGCCCTAAGGAAACAGCTAGGTCTTTTCATCGACTGCACTAAGCTTTGGAAAAATCTCTTCAAGACAGCAGTAGAGTTGAGCCCAAAAGTCAGATATTCAGATGAGAGTTTCCCCCAAAAGAGTATGGCACACAACACTAGTTTAAACTAGTTCAAACACACTTAGACACAGCAGTTGGTTTTCAGTGGGCTAGGAGGTTACCACATTGCTCTGTTTTCTGAAAGTAGTACTCCTCCCTCTGTTAATTATTTACACCTTGGCCTTATATATGCAACAACAGCTCAAGCACTGTACCGTGCAAGAGGTCTCCCTCCATCATCCTCTACAAAGACTGCAGAGTATAGCAGAAAAAAGGAATAGAAGGGATTCAACTCCCAGATTCTAGTCTTTTCTGTAGCACATCTAGCACGAAGTCTAGTAAACATCAAACGTCATTCTGTACCAGCCACCTTCTTAGACATAATCAGTAACTCAGATTCATAACCTATAATCAGTAACTAGTTTCCTAAACATAATCAGTAATCAAAGAAATAAACCAGAATCATAGGCTTTTCTTTTTACCTGCAAAGCAGACCGCAGAACAGATTAAACAACAGAGGAACTTATCATAAAGCTTTACAACACAAAAATCATGGGGCAAACAACTACTAGGCTCATGTAACATACTGGTTACTTCTCGGCATGGTTAGGATTGTGATAGCAAAT